CTCAGAATTTTGTTTTGACAGCAGTCTGAAATGTGCCTTTTCATGTAGAGAGAGCTAATATACTGCCCCCTGGTGGTTGTCTCAGTTGTGTGAAAACAACTTAGGTTCCTCTCAATTTATAGTATTTGGATCTGAGAGGAAAAAAAAGACTTGAACTTGTATCGTGGCAGATGTTACATGGTTCTAATCCTCAGTGTAACGATATTTAGATCAGCATTTAATCACAGTTAGTGTCTGGAAATTGGTAAAAAATAAATTGCTTATCAGTAGGTTTAATTCCAGAATAATTCTGGAAGGCTACATGTTGATATACATTTTAATTTGCTCTCAAAGAAAGGTTCTTGGTTTGGCTCTGTTACAAAATCAGGAGAGTGAAGACAGTTACCGGTGTAAAAAAAACAAAAAGTCACAGTGAAATCCATTTACAGTATATCACCGCGACGGAAAACTACGGCTGGACCAGTGGCGTTTAGCAATGCATCACTAATGGTATATACAAAATGTAATGTATCACTTCTTGTTCTAAACCAGTGTGACCTCTTGAAAACATTTAGACATGCTTAAATGGTTTAAACATTTAAAAAGATTACAGCAGAGGAAATCTGAATACCTTCTCAGCAGCTAAAGTGTTACGGTGGATCAAGGGTGACACTTTAGAAACAGACTCTGCGTCTTTTAGTGTTAGGGATTACTGTAATCCCGATGATTACATTTGCGATAGTCCTACACAAGATACTTTAATTGCCTGTATATTACTACTGCGTGTGATGGGTTGAAGGTTGAGGAAATGATGAAAAAGCCACGTATCTATCGATCTAGCAAGTTCACGTGCCGTTGATCTCCTAACCCAGTGATGACCTGGTGAACTGTAGAAAGCCTCTATAAAGCAAAAAGTTTCACCAAAGCAGCGTAACTGGCAAAAAAATAAATAAATAAAAAAAACTTGACGCAATGTGCACTGACCCCTTAGTACAACTTGTTTACTTGGGAAAAAGCTAATGGAAATACCCATAAATAATGAAAACACATAGCATGGAGGTATACGTATGGTGTCTTACACAAGGCCTATAAAATAGACATGTCTGCATGTCTGATTGAGCCCAGTTACATGTACAGCCATGGGATGGAGAGAGAAATACCTGGAGGTAACCATCCATCCATCCATCCATCCATTTTCATCCATTTTCATCCGCTTATCCGTTACAGGGTCGCGGGGCAGCAATCTCTATGACCTCCACCCAAATCACACTGCACCGTACCAACCCCCCCTTAAACATTCCTGTGGGGGGTGAGTCCACTGGAAGGTACCAACCGCCCTAACCGGGATTCGATCTTGCAACCCTGGGGTCTGCCTCTGGGCCAAAGCGCCACACCTGGAGGTAACATTCAGCAATATTACGTTAAGTAATAAAAAATGATTTTATACAGAAACAGATAAACAGCGCGTCATACGTGACAGTGAGAGAGTTTATTGTAAAGACGTGAAGTCAACTGAATTAGACATCAAGGAAGAAGCTAAAGAACCCATTCATAAATGAATGTGTGATATTCTATGGGCTGAGTGTAAAGTCAGACATTCACACACGACATGACATTTCCTAGGGTTCACTCGTAGGCCAAAGTCTGATGCTTCCTTCAAAGCCGTGTCTAAGGATGATAAGGTTTTAGAAGTAGGACGCGGCAGCATCTCTTTAACTTTAGCTTTTAACCTGAGCTGAAGAGACACGCTGCACTTAGCTTGCACTGTCCCGGCCAGGGCTAAGAGTGGTCGGCCACCTGCTCCTGACATGTACGTTGATCCTTTAAGTGTAACTTTCATTTAATATTAAGCAAGTAGCGCTGCAGCGGAGGGTTTTGACAGCCCTTATTAATAAATAACACCCCGACATAAATATTACCAAACCTCCTAGAGACACAACGCACTAGAAATACAGCACTACATACAGAGTAGTAAAACTTTCATTATTTTCTTCCTACTTTGGATAATAAACTGAATGCTAATGTATTTGCATAATGCTACAAACAGTTGCCATTATCTCAAACTCAAGGTGAGCTTAGCAGCCTCTGTATTTTTTTATTTTTTTCCTTTTTTTAAGTAGGCAAGAATGTACATTATAAACTTGAAATCTGCATTTCAATAATAATAATAATGTACATTTTTGAAAGTGTAGATTTAATAGAAATAGTGATGTTGTACTTGAGTATCTCAAACTGTTTACGGTTGGCTATTAAACTATGTAAATGAAATGGATACTTAATACTGCATATATTAGACTAATGAAAATAGATACAGTATATTCACCCGGTAAATTAATTAAGGTAAATGTTATTGCATAGGCAATAGACACAGTATATTGAGCAATTCCACCGTTCATCCACTTGTTGCGCTTCTTCACACTCGTACACATTAGGTTGATTACACACACTGTGGAATTTTTATTTATTTATATACCTATGCAGGTAAAAAAATTAAATGTGAGGTATAGAAAGTAAAAGGTTAAAAACCCCTTGACTCCACAGCTGAAAGCTACATTTTATCACTGATATCAATATGTGACATGATCTTAATTAAAGCTCGGCTTTTGTAACGAGAACACGAGAGAAATTGTCAGAGAACTGATTTAAAGACTGTGAGAGGTGAAGTCAAGCCTTTCTTTCCAAAGCTGGTTTTAATATTTTGTTCCATCTTTGCACAGATTAGTCATTAGTCAGCAATGACACAGCACTGACTTAGGTGACGATAAACACACATAGTTATGTGTTAGCACTCATAGTGACTACGGAATTACTAATACCAACAGGCATTTTCATACAATACACACACACTCACACACACTCACACTCACACTGATCCCAGTGCTTCAGGAGCCGGTTTGTGTGTCAGTGTCAGGAACTGTTTCCTTTCAACTGTTTTGTCATGAAAACAACTTTTTTTGCAACACAAAAATTTATAGTAAGCTTAGACTTTTCCAAAGTATCTGAACGTCTCCATTTCTGGTGGAGATGAAATTTCAAATTCTTCATGAACTACTAAATCTGTTAGTTGTTGATCGTGGCCACTCACTCTCTTCAGCTCCAGCAGCCTAGTTACTTTACTGGAACATTCTAAATCAGAGGACGGCATTGGAGACGGCGGCTCTGGAGCATTGTTTTTCCCAAGGACGGGGTCGCGGCCCTCAGGTGGGCCGCAAAAGTTTTTTTTGGGGTCGTCTCACATCAAGAGGACTCCAGGGTCTCCAGGAGTTTACCAATAATGTCTATTGACTTGGTTCGCGAAGGTTTGAGACTTTTAAAATATGGGTCCCCCACGTTTGAGAAACACTCCTCTGGAGGATGGGTTGCATGTACAGTATGTACTGTACCTGTCAAAACAATTAACATTTTTAATTGGATAAATTAACTAGCTGTGGATTAATCACGAATAATCATGATAAACGTGATGTAAGACAAGAGATGTAAATCTTGAATGTAATTAAACGATTAATTGTGATTAATCATGATCAGAGATAATTACTATTAATCATGAATAAGTGAGACAAATCAACATTCCTAAATATGAAAAAAAAAATAATGTAAAAAATTAAAACCAAAATTATATGCATATTGCTGGAACAGAAAATCAAATATCCTAGTTCAGGGTCAAACTCATTATTACCGAGGACCACATCAGCAATACAGTTCACCTTGAAGGGCCGGTTGTAAATGGAAGACTGGGGATCTGGGGGTCCCAACCCCCAGTCCGTGGACCAGTACCAGTCCATAGATCATAGATCACCGGGCCGCAGGACTTTATGGACTTTACTAAATGCTTTTTAAGCTCCCGCTGACCACACAAAACGGCCATATAAAGGAATGAATAATAATAAATTATGCAAAACATTTTAGGCAGTGTGAGTAAAAAACTACTACAAAAGTGTATCAATGGTGGCAAAAACAGTGCACAATACAATAAACATGTTCATTTAGACTCTGCCAGTTTTTAAGATGATATAATCTGTTTTTATAATGCAGACTCGTGTGTTGCATTTCTCTGGAAACAAGCCGGGGTACCAGTGTGAAGAGACAGACACGGAGATGGGTCAAACACTGCTGAGGACACTTCACGCTGAGACTTAGCAAAGAAGTCTGGTCAGTTCACAGACTAATTTAAATTAGTGACATTATCAGGGCCACGAAAGAGGCCAGTGTTGTCTGGTTTTTAAAAAGCAGCTGCTAATTTAAATCAGCAAGTTTATTTGGTTTCTGTGACTCCATTAGCCTGTGTCCAAATACTCCTGATTAGTTTACCAAAGCTAATTAGATTCAGGCTTGGTCACAGGTTCAGCATATACGTGTAAGTGTGTGTGTGGGTTTTTTAAACTGGTTGTGGTGAGATTATTTCTGTCCTAAAGGGAGAAGGTGCCATTACATACAACACACAACATGGCTACAGAACACCAGATATTATCTGCTGTGCTATCTTTTAACTGCTACATCCCGTCCATTGGAGGAGAGGGAAAACCATTAGTCTCAGGCCACACGACATTCCTCGGCATTGAGGAAGCCTCCATTTCAACTTTAATGCCAGATTAAATCCGCCATAAACTCTGTGTTTGAATAGTTGATTTAACCTTGGGACACGACTTTTACAGTTTTTGCACACCGAAAAGAGCCGAAGTACACATTAAGAAGACTGGGAATCACACGCTTCACTGCATCTGCTGACAAATCACAGACCAGAGGATTTGTCAAACCAGTGAAGGACAATGGAAACTGTCAAATGTTTGCGCAATCTTTTGCACGGTATGCGCTGCAGTCAACATTATAAAGATGTTTCTGTCACAACTTGATAAATCTTGAAACTCTTTGCAATGGTTTCAAATTCTCCTTACATCGTCCTCTGACACATGACCTTAAAGTCGGCTGGTGAGTTCTACTACATAGATAAATCATATCTAAAATTCAAATCACAGATCATAAGGGATCATTAGACACCTTAACGGCTACAGCCTTCGGTTTACCTGGCTGGGCGTCCTAGCAGCAGGCTTGTCCTGGTGGTTTGCGAGAATGAGGAACGGCAGTGTACAGAGCTGTGGGTGCTGGAGGGCAGAGTGAAGCTCGTTCCGTGCAGCCTCAAGGTCTTCATCTGATGACGCACTGTCCAACACGAAGATTACACCTTGTGACCCCTGGTAGTAACGGCTCCAATATTTCTTGATGTTGTCGGCTCCTGTGGACAGATGTTGTATCGTTAAGATTGATGGCGTCTATAACAAGTCTCTGTTATTACTCGTGTAGCAACAATGGGAGAAGAAACAGCAGCTGCAGTAGAATAGTTCTGAGAAGATACAACTCTAAGGATGTTAATATATGCAATGGGAATATAGAAAGAAATAAGTACAGACATAACCCCGTCATTATTAGAAACATGAAGACAAATAGACATTTAATAAAAGATATTAACATGTAATTAAATTTAAAGATAAAACAAATCTTGGCGGTCTTGAAGTGGGCCAAAAATGAAAAAAACAAAACAACAAAAATGATTTAATAAACGTTTTCTTATCACTTCATTTATCTTCTATTATCAATGGGATCAAGTTAATTCCTGCTTCACCTGGAGAAGAGATACAAATCTTTGCAGCAGCCAGGAATGAAGGTAGGTTGTACTTAATAAGTTTCAACGACTACTAATAAGTAATACAGATACGATCAATGATGCTCCTGTGCAATCAAAAAAATACTGCAAAATAGACAGACTTCACTGCTGGACAAACAGTAACAGACGTGAAGACATTTGGTTTCAAAACATTTCACACTCTGAAGCATGAATGTACCAGGTGACTCTTGCCATTAAGTCATACATGCTGTTGCCTGCTTAATTTACCACATGTTTTCTACTAAATAGGATCAACCTCTTTAAAATTAACATTGTGCCCGACCAAAAAGAATTACAAAAAAAAATATATATATATTTTATTGATTTGATTGGAACAGTTGCCACCCAGTGGTTTATTCCTGTTGTACATACTGCACCATCGACCATACACATGTATCATAGACTGTACCAGGTTCTTAACCAATTCAGGAAATTGAAAAAAAAAAAACTTACCTCGACTGCCTTTATACAAAGGGAACTCGTAAAAATGTTCAAAGCCTTAAGCAGACAGGCCCCCCACTACCAATAAATGGGCATCTCTTATTGAAAACACTCAACGTACGAAAGAGTTGACTTTTAATCAAAGGTTACAGCAGTAAAAAGGAATGCTTTCTAGGAAACTTTACCCCACGGAAACTCGCTTGACATTTTGTGTTTTCCAGTTTAAAGAAAGGGAATAATAGTATCTTTTTTTTTTATTGTTTTCTATTTGTCTGCTGAATTCATTGATGTTTATCAGTGTGTAATTGAACTCTCGAGCAGTATTTACCACTTGCAGTTTGTGTTTCATTCCGTGCCACAAAACCACAAAAGTTTATATGAAGTACTGTGGAAAAAAAAAAAGTGTGAGCGTACAGACAAAATAACTTACATAGTTGACACACGTACATCACGACATCAATTAAACAGAAACATTTTTCCTCACTTCTCCTGGTACCATAAAAAATACAAACACTGTTACTGTTACGCACACACTCAGAAATCCAAAACACACTGTTGTTGTGTGAAGTTCAAACTCATCTCCTGCCAAAACTTTTCAGCAGCTCCTCAAGTCCTTGTAAAGACACAGCAGTGAACTCCAGCGTCAGTGAAGTAAAAACACACACCTGCTTCAAACTGCGTCTGGGCTCATTCTCAAGGCTAAACAGACTGTGTGTGTGTGTGTGTGTGAGAGAGAGAGAGAGAGAGAGGGAGAGAGAGAGAGAGAGAGAGAAAGAAAAAATATAGTCATCAAATGTTTAAAAATCTTAATCTCCCACAACCTTTGATTATCATTTATTTTAAAAACAACAATGTTATCAGGTTTAACTATAACTGGTTTTAGCAAGAAGTGATTTTTCCAAAATGCCCTATTTTAAATAAGGAACTTAAAACATATACTTAAAACAACCAGCGCTTAGGCGTGGTAACATTACAATTAACTAATTAAAATTTAAAAACCAATTGCAATTTTTTTTTTTCATTTAAATTTACCCTTTTTTATATTATAGGGTAGCTTACTTTTGGGATCTTACTGTGGCTTTGTAATTGTTACTAATAGTAAAGTACCAGCCAAGAAATGACGAACTGTGAGGCTGGCAAATGATTAAAGTTCACACCGCACTCTCTGTGACATTTTAATTTCCAAGCTCGTGCTCTTTACTCCTTTCCTTGTTTTCTTCCCTGACTCTAAAGGGGAAAAAAGGAGAGGAAGAAAATGAAGACAAGGAGGAGAGAGTAGGTGGAAACCAAGAAGAGGAGGACGAAGAAGATGAAGAAAGATGAAAAAGGAGGTAAGTAAAAAAAAAAGAATAAGGAAGAAAGAACAATGAGAAACAGGATAAGAAAGAAAGAAGACAACTATGATGAAGAAGAAAGAAGAAGAAACTTAAAATATGTTGCAGGAACTGATATTTGGGAATAAAATAAAAAATAAAATTCTAGGTTGTTTCACTAAGGTGGTCCTATAAAGTCGTCCTTTTTGCTGCAGTAGCCTGAACTTCATGTCTTGACCCCTTTTAGTTCAGTGTTTCCCAAACTTTTTTTTTCTGGGGACCCATATTTTAAAAGTCACAAACCTTCACGACCCAAGCCAACAGACATTATTGGTAAACTCCTGGGAAACATGACGCGTGATGCCCCTCCCAAAAAAAAATCTCTTGTGACCCACCTGAGGGTCGCAACCCAGTCTTTGGGAAACAATGCCTTAGTTCCATCATATTGCACAGGTGTCTTCACTCTGTGGATTCACTCCCTTCACCGAACTCTCCCACGTGAACACACACCAGACTGTGACCTTGACAAAAATCACAAAAGCAGACGATTGCTGTCTATCTCTGCACTCACTGCTGCACCGTGTTGACTGAATCTCCATGGAGATTAATAAAACATATGAACTTCACTTCATCTAACCCTGTTTGTTTATTGACTCACTGAGGAACTAACTCTACAGTTACAACAGCCTGGAAAACGTGTTGGTCCTTTGTCTTTGGATTAACTAACTGAATTATTTTTCTCATGCTACTCTACCGCTCTGTTAGTGTTTATAATTGCATAAATGAATAAATTAGTAAATTCTTAATTAGAAATAGATTAAAAGGAAGTTGCTCTTGTTTTTAAACTGTTAAAAAATTTTATTTAGTCAGAGTTTTTTAATGATACAAAACTAGACTTGAACAGATCTGAGATCATCAGATCTCAAACCATCCAGACTTCTGAAACTCAATCTTGATTAGACAAAAATGTTTTTCGTTTCCCGCAGTCTGGCCAATCTCTTAGAATAGAAAAGATGCAAATTAAAAAGCGTAATCTGACCCTAAATGACAATGTTTTCCCACCACCTTTGGAAAGGGTTCAGAGATTCTGATTTCAAAATTTAAGTAATGGTTGACCTTCTCACAGGGATCAAAATAAAAGACTATTGGTCGGTGAAAGAGAAGAACTATCCAGTAAAGGATGCAAAAATCATAATCATAATAATATATTTTTAAAATAAATTTACATATTTTATATCCGTTCTTTCACACATTGGCCATCTTTTATCTTGAACAAATTATAAACATGTTGCTGCATGTTGTTGTCTTTTTTCACTCTTGAAAGTTGAAAGTAAAACTCTTTGAAGTCTCCCTAACGAAAAGCAGACAAAGATTTTTTTTTTTTTTAACTGAACAAAACAGCTACACTACAGTAATGGGAGAGAGCGCTGGTGCTGGTGAGAGAGGCCTCTGGTAATAAAGTTTGCTTACCTCACTGAGGAATGAGCTGGGGCTGAAGCTGGAGTGAGGTTAAAAATCACTTCAGCTGTTGATACACTCATCGACCCAGCAGGGTCTGTTTTTGAGCAAACAGTTCTGGTGTGAGGCCTGGCTCCAAAGGCACATTAATGCCACAATGATGGAGCTTTCAATGCAGGTATACAGAGATGTTGGTCCTCTGATTTTCAGACACAGTACTGTGCAAAATGTCTAGATTGTTATATATGATGTATCTACTTTTTATCGACACACCAGCGTGTTGTCTAGTAGCTTGTAGGTTGTAATCATCATCTATTTCCTTTGAGGTTGAAGTACAGTCAGTAACTGATACGTTTTGTCATGAAAACAACTTTTTTGCAACACAAAAGCTTATAGTAAACTTAGACTTTTCCAAAGTATCTGAACATCATTACTGGTGGAGATGAAATTTCAAATTCTTCATGAACTATTGAATCTGTTAGTTGTTGATCGTAGCCACCCACTCTCTTCAGCTCCAGCAGCCTAGTTACTTTACTGGAACATTCTAAATCAGAGGACGGCATTGGAGACGGTGGCTCTGGAGCATTGTTTCCCAAAGACTGGGTCGCGACCCTCAGGTGTGTCGCAAGAGATTTTTTTTTAGGTCGTCTCGCATCATGTTTCCCAGGAGTTTACCAATAATGTCTACTGACTTGGGTCGTGAAGGTTTGTGACTTTCAAAATACGGGTCCCCAGAAAAAAAAGTTTGGGAAACACTGCTGTAAAAGACAGTTCCATGTCACGGATTATACACCATGGCAACACTGATTACAACAAAAAGACACATCATGTTTAGCTTTCATTAAGACTAATGGCATTTGACTTCACTGTGTACAAAACTAAAAATCTGTGAAGCAGAAGGAAAGTCAAAGGTTGAGATATGCAATGTCTGTAGCAAAAAGTCTGTTCACTTATTGTTTGTGGTTAAAAAAAAACTGAACTTGAATTTGTTTTTATCAGTGATGGAGATTCTGTGTAGGTTTGGGGTTGAAATTCTTCTAGTTAAGTTGGGTCAGGACTGTAGGTGATCTTGACACTAAAAAAAAAAATCCAAGTCATTACTTTTCTACTATGCAGTACTATTATGTAGGTTTGTCATTCAAATTAATGTTGGATAGATGAATAGATAGACGAACAAACAAACAGACAAACAGACAGACAGACAGACAGACAAACAGACAGACAGACAGACAGACAGACAGACAGATAGATAGATACAAAAATAGAAACAAAGCAAACAAAGAATGTCCCCACAAGTATAGCTGTACCAATAAACACACACACACACACCCAGTTCCAAAGTGTGAAAACACCATAAAACAGTTAAAGCTGTGTTAAATCAGGAGGTTTAACGGCTGAGCTCTGTTACACTGTCTGCTGGAGGAAAGATAATTGTACGTCTAATAATCCTCTCTGGTCTGTTG